TGCTTGGTTGAAATGAGGAGACCATTAATTTAGCTAATTATTTGACCTATTTAATGTTAGATGGTAGGGTTCATAAGACCCTGGCTAAAAAGCATACTTGAGGCCAGGCATGGTGGCTCATGCCTGTAATCCTAGCACTTTGGGAAGCCGAGGTGGGCAGATCACGAGGTCAAGAGTTCGAGACCATCCTGGCCAACATGGTGAAACCCCCTCTCTCCTGAAAATACAAATATTAGCTGGGCATGGTGGTTCTCGCGCCTGTAGTCCCAGCTACTCGGGAGGCCAAGGCAGGAGAATCGCTTGAACCAGGAGGCAGAGGTGGAGGTTGCAGTGAGCCGAGCTCATGCCACTGCATTCCAGCTCTGCAAAAGAGCGAGATTCCGTCTCTAAAAAAAAAAAAAGCATACTTGAAACTCTTGTTATCATCCTTCTTATAGTCAAAATAGTAGTCTCCCTACTGCAGTGTATTCTCTCAAAAGTTATAAATGTTTGCATGCAGTTATCTCTAGAATGTCAAATGGTCTCTCTTTAACTGCCATCACAAAAACTCAAATGCATATGTGACCATGAGGACACCATAACCTGTGAATGACCTGATAGGGACAAAAACTAAAAATAATGGGAACTGAGAGTGGCATTAAGACACTGAGTTTTGGTCATACTCTTACCTATGTGAGAACTTAACCAAAAGGGGGGGATTTTATAAACAAAATTATTGAAGGCCATCATTCTGGACTGAGCTTGTGCGTTAGGCCCAAAGAGACTAAACCAAACCAAATGGAGTCACTCATGTTAATGTGACATAATCAAGCTGAAAATGTAAGGAAATAGGTAGATCCTAAAACAGGCCAGGTTTGGTTGTTCTTTTGAAAACAGCAGATTTCAACACAAGGAGGTCACCTCTACTGTAACCCTTAAAAAAATAATAATAACCTGAAGTCCTTGTTTCCACTTTACAAAAGCTACAGTTCGGCTATTTCACAGTGGGATTTGAGAATAAAGAAGTACCTTTTTGATGGTGACAGAATAATATCAATGTCTAAAGTTCTGGTCTATCTCTCAAAATTGAGAAGATGATCAAAAGGGAGAGATTGTTAAATTAATTATCCCTAAAGCTGCTCCCTTTTCTGTTTAACTTTGGTCACTAGGATTTTTTACACATAGTAAACTGAAACCTAACTGGATAGATACATAGACTGTATTCCATTATTGTACCAAAAATTGTGTTTTTGCCAATAAAAGGACATCAAGTGTTCAAATTATGTTTAAGGCAAATCCCAACCTGTAATCAATCTGGCTGTTTCTGTACCTCACTTCCATTTTCTGTATGTCACTTTGCTTTTTTCATCTACAAATCTGTTCTCATCATGTGGCTTTGCTAGAGTCTCTCTGAGCCTACTCTGGATCCACCGGCTGCCCGATTTGCAAATCATTCTATGCTCTATTAAACTCTGTTAAATTTAATTTATGTAAAGTTTTAAAGTTTTTCTCTTTTAAAAGTTTTCAAATGTTTTCTTTTCTCTCTCTCTTTTTTTTCTTTTTTTTTTCTTGAGACGCAGTTTTGCTCTTGTTGCCCAGGCTGGAGTGCAGTGGCACGATCTCGGCTCACTACAATCTCAGCCTCCCAGGTTCAAGCGATTCTCCTGCCTCAGCCTCCCAGGTAGCTGGGATTACAGATATGTGCCATCATGCCTGGCTAATTTTGTATTTTTAGTAGAGACAGGGTTTCCCCATGTTGGTCAGGCTGATCTCTAACTCCTGACCTCAGGTGATCCACCCACCTCAGCCTCCCAAAGTGCTGGGATTACAGGTGTGAGGCACTGCACAGCCTAGTTTTCAAATATTTTCTTTTTTTTTTTTTTTTTTTTTTTTTTTGGAGATGGAGTCTTGCTCTGTTACCCAGGCTGGAGTGCAGTGGTGTGATCTCGGCTCACTGTAAGCTGCACCTCCCGGGTTCATGCCATTCTCCTGCCTCAGCCTCCCAAGTAGCTGGGACTACAGGCACCCGCCACCATGCCCGGCTAATTTTTTCTATTTTTAGTAGACACAGCTTTTCACCATGTTAGCCAGGATAGTCTTGATCTCCTGACCTCGTGATCTGCCCGTCTCGGCCTCCCAAAGTGCTGGGATTACAGGTGTGAGCCACAGCGCCCAGTTCAAATATTTTCTATGATAAAAATAAATAATGTGCTGTTGGACTTCGATTTTCTAAACTCATCCCTCAGCTATTTCCTCAAATTATTCTGTCTTCAAAATGCTTATCCAATTTTTATTTTATTTATTTATTTATTTTTTTGAGACAGAGTCTCATTTTACCACCCAGTGTGGATAGCAGTGGTGCAGCCAATCACAGCTTACTGCAGCCTTGACCTTCCAGGCTCAAGCAGTCCTCCTGCCTCTGCCACCTAAGTATTGGGACTACAGGCACGCACCACCATGGCTGGCTAATTTTTTTCATTTTTTTTCATGGAAACAAAATCTTATTATGTTGCCCAGGCTGCACCGGAACTCCCGAGTTCAAATTCTCCCATCTGAGCCACCCAAAGTGCTAGGAATACAGGTCTGAGCCACCGTGTTTGCAAAATGGTAGCAATTTTTTATCCCTCCTGTATCCATGCCCAATGCCAGATGCTTTTACGGTTGTTTCCATCAAGATTCAGAATCTGTTTTCCAAACCCTAGATCAGCCTGGCCTTATTTGCTTAGGGCAGTAGAAACCTGTGAACATGGCAATGGGCTAGTTTGGGGCCTAGGCTCAAATGGTCTTGAATGCTTCTGTTTTTCTTTTAGAATGTTGACATCGCCTTGGAAAAAAATTTCATGTTGGCCAGCTGGAAAATAAGATATCATGGGGAGGAGAAGCAAGGTGTCCCTGTTGACAACCCCACAAGCAGAACATCACCCCCAGAAGCACAGCTGCCTAGTCAACAAGCAGCTGACGACACATGTCTGAAGGAGCTCAGCTGAAACCAGAAGAATGGCCCCACTGAGCCCAGCCTAAATGGCTGACCATTTCAATTATGAACTAATAAGTTTTGGATGATTTGTTATGCTGCAATAGCTGACTAATACATGCACTCACTGCAGATAGGATGCCAGGATTCAATGACTGATTGATTACTAGTTACCTTCTAACAGTGGGCACCCTATAGGTACTGATTTTTTCCCCTGATTTAAAGTTGGGTGACTTGAAAGAGAATGTTGAGAAATGCAGAAATACAGGTAGACATGTATGCATGTGATTGGTGCTTATACCCACACACCCTCCACACCACAGGAAAAAACAGATAACCATAGTCTGACAATTAGGGCCAAGGCCAAATAGCAAAATAAGCTTGCTTTTAATCTATCTTCTCCATATCTAAGCATTGGAGGTCAAGAGTGTGGACAGAATTGAAGACACAGAGTTTTTTTATCCTGTGACCCCCAACATCCTTTGTTCACTGTCTGATCTCTGGAAGAAAAGTGGACAACAGGTGGCCAGCAGTGGTCTACGTGCCGTTATTTTATTCCTGCTGCCACCTGCTCTTTTGATGGCCACTATCTGTTCCACCCTTAGAACTGAAGAAAGATATTGGTAGGGAGAGGCTCTGCCTTCACTTCTGGCAGAAAAGGAATGTTCAGTTCATTCACCCCCCCTGACATCAGAGCCGCACTTCAATGTGGCAGCTATTGGCCATGTGTGCCTCCTGAGTGACTGGAATGTGGCTGGTCTGAACTGTGATGTGCTAGAAAGGTAATATACAGAGTTAGTTTCAAATGTTTATATACATTATTAATAATTACACATTCCTCACACATTACAATGATAATATTATGGACATATTGGGTTAATTAAATTGTTACAATCGATTCAACCTGTTCCTTGTTTCTTTTTCTTTTCTTTTCTTTTTTTTTTTTTTTTTGAGACGGAGTCTTGCTCTGTCACCCAGGCTGGAGTGCAGTGGCCGGATCTCAGCTCACTGCAAGCTCCTCCTCTCGGGTTCACGCCATTCTCCTGCCTCAGCCTCCCGAGTAGCTGGGACTACAGGCACCCGCCACTTCGCCCGGCTAGTTTTTTGTATTTTTGTAGTAGGAGACGGGGTTTCACCGTATTAGCCAGGATGGTCTCGATCTCCTGACCTCATGATCCGCCCGTCTCGGCCTCCCAAAGTGCTGGGATTACAGGCTTGAGCCACCGCGCCCGGCCGTTTCTTTTTCAAGTTTGTCTTCTAGAAAATTTAAGATTCACATGTGGCCCACATTTTATTTCAGAAGATTACCTCCTTTTTAAAATCTCAGGCTGCCTGTTCAAAGGACTGGAGGGAGCCAGGAAGGTCATAAAATCTGAAATTTTAAAATAATTATTGTTACATTCTTTTCATTTTTGAATAGCCACTATATATATGTGTGTGTGTGTGTGTGTGTGTGTGTGTGTGTGTGTATATATATGTGTTTTTTTGTTTTTTTTTTTTGTTTTTTTTGTTTTTTTTACACAGAGCTTTGCTCTTGTTGCCCAGGCTGGAGTGCAATGGCACAATCTCGGCTCACCGCAACCTCCGCCTCCCAGGTTCAAGCGGTTCTCCTGCCTCAGCCTCCCGAGTACCTGGAATAATAGGCATGGGCCACTACGCCCGCCTAATTTTGTATTTTTTGTAAGGACTGGGTTTCTCCATGTTGGTCAGGCTGGTCTCCAACTCCCGACCTCAGATGATCTGCCCCCCAGGCCTTCCAAAGTGTTGGGATTACCGGCGTGAGCCACCGCGCCCGGCCCCATATATTATTTATAAGTGCATATGACCTTATACACAAGGTTAAATGCAAATAACCTCTGCGGTGGGCCTGGCTCAGCTCGGCGAGGAAGCCCTGTCAGAGAAGGATGCAGCCTAAGCTGTCACTCTTCACTCAGCCCGGCATCTCATCACATCTTCCAGTCAATCAGGACCTGAGGGGGCGGGTATTTAAATGTTATCCAATCAGAGGCGCCGGGCTAGGAACCGTCCAATCAGGCACGCAGGTGAAGCCGACAGGGCGGCTTCCGGGTTTGGCGGGGCCTTTGTCTCTTGCTGTGGCCTGAGCTCCTGGTCTCGTCTTCACTGCTCTGTGTCCTCTCCTCCTAGAGGCCCAGCTTCTGTGGTCCTGTGACCTGCAGGTATTGGGAGAGCTACAACTAAGACGCCAGGAACACCTGGAAGCCTAGAAATGGTGAGAGTGCCGGGTCCGACATTCCGAGAGGGGAGGGGCTGGTTGGAACCGGTGGAACGTGGCTGTGGCGGGACTCAGGCCTCTCCTCAGTCAGCTCCACAATCTGCGCCCCGAGTTCTCTTGCCCAGCTCGGCGTCAGTACCCATCAGCCATAAGATGGCGGCTGCGCTGACAGCCGGGCCCCCGCACGTCCTGTCTCTTCCTTGCGCAGTGACTGTGCCCTGGCCTTGAGCCCTCTCTGGGCAGCTCTGCTTCCGCAGCGCAGCGTCTTTCCCAGACTGTGCGGGGACCACGGGAGGAGCCTCACTGGAGAATCCTGACTTGGGGTGCGAGTTCATGAATGGAAAGAACTTTGGTCCTGGGTTCCTAGTTCCTCTTTTCTCCTATTAAAAATGTACAGGCCGGGCGGGGTGGCTCACGCCTGTAATCCCAGCACTTTGGGAGGCCGAGGCGGTCGCATCACGAAGTCAGGAGTTCAAGACCAGCCTGGCCAGCATAGTGAAACCCCGTCTTTACTAAAAATACAAAAATTTGCCGGGCATGGTGGCACACGCCTGTAGTCCCAGCTGCTTGGGAGGCTGAGGCAGGAGAATCACTTGAACCTGGGAGGTGGAGGTTGCAGTGAGCCGAGATCGCGCCACTGCACTCCAGCCTGTGTAATGCCGCCTGTGTAACACGGAGCAAGACTCCGTGTCGGGGGTGGGGGGGCGGGAATTGCGCAGAAGTCACCGCAAGAATATTCAAGAAATTAATCAAAGAGTGATTCAAAAACTGTATAGCACCCAGCTATGGTTTGTAATTTGTTTTTCATGGTGAGGCTTGAAGGAAAGACTTTTATAAGGTGCGTGATGAAGAAAGCCAAATTCAGTAATTGGTTAGGTACAGTTGTGTAGTTTCTCAGTTTGTACAATAAAGGTGAAAATTTTCTGGTTATGTAATCGGAGCTTAATTGGCAGTATATAGTTGGTTAAGCCTGATTTTTTTGTCTTTCAATGTAGTAATTTTCAAAACGATGCTCTTGAGTTAGATTTTTTTTTTTTTTTTTTTTGAGATGGAGTCTCGCTCTAGTCGCCCAGGCTGGAGGAGTGTACTGGCACAATCTCGGCTCGCTACAACTTCTGCCGCTGCCCGTGTTCAAGCTTCTCCTGCCTCAGCCTCTTGAGTAGCTAGGATTACAGGATTGTCTCAGGATGTTTTGGGGTCAAGGTTTTCCTTTGGAAACTTTATGGGGTGATGTGTCCTCAGCCACCCTTCAGTTTTTTTCTGGTCCTGAGTTTCAGTACTGTCTGGAGATAAACCAAGATATCTGCCGTGGTTATGTCAGCTAGAGTGTCTAGTGGATATCAGCTTCTCGGTTATTTTCTCCCATAGGAGAACCTGAAGTCTGGAGTGTATCCTCTCAAGGAAGCAAATGGATGCCCTGGGGCTGAGAGGAATCTTCTGGTGTACTCTTTTTATGAAAAGGTAACCCCTTGAGATGTTAAAATTGTCTTCACCCAACCCAGCTTTCATCTCTTGGAGACACATTGCTGGTCAACCAATCAGATTCTGGTATTGAGGGGAAAACAAATAATTTTGCCCCCTGGATTCTCTAAGGGGGCAGAAAAATAGTGGAATAAATATAGTGAAAGTGAAATAGTGGAAAAAAGTGGAACATTTGTGACAGAAAAAATAGTATCCCAAAAGACAAAAGGAAAAAGAAAAACACTGACCCCAGTGAGATGGTGTAAGAACTTGCAAACTTAAATGCCCATGGGGCAGTCACTGGGGCATAGTGTGGTGTCTCCTGAATGGGTGGTTCTTGAACACATAAGTGAGCAGGAGTGGGTGGAAGACTCTCAAGTGATTGAATGGCCTGACTTGAAACATGAGTCAGACATCTGTTTTTAATCAGCACTGCTACTCCCTGGGTTTGTCACCTTGAAAAGATTCATTCACTTATTTTAACCTCAGTTTTTTTAGCTGTAAATTGTATTATATTAGTAGGGCTTGAAAGGTAGGAAAATATTTACCAAAGGCATAAAAGTGGTGGGTTTAAGAAAAAAATTGGTATCTAATAATATATTTCATTCATTAAAAATTCTCTATTCCCCTTTTTTTTTCCCCCAGGTGAGTTTAGAAATTTTCTCAGGTGTGTTTTTTATGGCTGGGTGATTTCAAACAGAATTCTAAGGCTCAGCTTTTAGAATGCTACCAAGGAAATGAGTAGGGAAAATCTCCATTCCATTTTTTTTTTTTGTAGAAAATAAATACATTTCTATAAGAAAATGTAGATAATTGGTGAGTTACATAGATTCATGAAAACATCAGTTCCTCTTTTTGCAGGGTAAATTTGTGACAGTGAATATCTCTGTTCAAATCCTGTTATCTTGATTTCCGAGTTTCATGCTACATTTTATGAGATGAAACTTGGTACCACCTAGAAGTTTTCCCATATGACTAATTGTTTACTAAATGATTCTTAATGGAATTAATAAAATAATGCATATATGAAAGAAATAGATACTTTTGCTTTTTTTATTGAGGTATAAATTGCAGACACCTTAAAATTTCCTTCCCTTATCTGAACACTGTGTTTGACTAATTTTGCTAGATTTTTCAAACACATATTTTCAAAAACCAAGTGAATAAGTCTAACATAGAAATTAAAGCTTGAGCCCAGTGACTCAGAGCTAAGGCTAATATTGAGCCTGCAAAAGGAGTTTATTACAGGCTCCGTTAGTTTTTTTCTGGGGAGCCTCCCCTGCAGATGTCCCAGCCTGCTCACTCTACCTGAGGAAGAAGCTTTTCTGCTGAGAGAGGCTGCAGAGTCCTGGAAAGGTGGGGACCCACAGGCAGATGCAGTTAAGGTTAAGATGGTAGGGGTTTGGGAGGATATTACTGATGATAAAGTTGTTATTGTTTGAAGGCAGTTTCTAGACTTTGTAATATATAACAAAGTTAGATTTATGTTAAAAATTTGAATTCCAAAGGACTATTGCAACAGGAAGAAATACCAAGTGTAAGAACTTTAAGGATTGCAAAGTTTAGGCAGACAAGGGCTTTCTTTCTTGGGGAGGAGCAAACAAAATTAGAAAGAAGTTGGAGGGGACTGGCAAATGAAGGGTGAAATAATCAGATTTTAGATCAGAGAATGTTTTACCCTGAAGTCAGCATGTTCTTGGGAGGGACATAAAATGGAGTTGTATATTGGCTCAGATTGAGGGTAGCTCCAAATTCAGGAGCCTGTGAAAAATTTTATTTAGACCACTGAAGACAAATTCAGCTGATTTTTTTTTTTAATGAGAAAAAGAAAATGTGCAGAGTTCTTATTGGAAAGGGGTCACAATCCAAACCCCAAGAGAGGGTTCTTGGATTTTGCTCAAGAAAGAATTCAGGGTGAGTCTATAAAGTAAAAGCAAGTTTATTAGGAAACAGACGGAATAAAAGAATGGCTTACTCCATAGGCAGAGCAGCCCTGAGGGCTGCTAGTTGCCCATTTTTGTGTTTATTTCTTGATTATATGCTAAACAAGGGATGGATTATTTTTGCCTTCCCAATTAGACAATGTAAAGTAATTTCCTGATGTTTCCATGATGTCTCCATGGCATTTGTAAACTGTCATGGCATTGGTGGGAGTGTGGCAATGAGGACGACCAGAGGTCACTCTCATCCCATCTTGGTTCTGATGGGTTTTATCCACCTTCTTTACTGCAACCTATTTTATCACCCAGGTCTTTATAACCTGTATCTTGTGCTGAACTCTTATCCTGTGACTTAGAATGTCTCACCATCTGGGAGTACAGCCCCGTAGGTCTCAGCCTTATTTTACCCAGCCCCTGTTCAAAATGGATTTGCCCTGATTCATTTGAAATGATATGCCTCTGACATTTCTCCTTTTTTTTCTTTTTTTAAATCTGAGATGGAGTCTCACTCTGTTGCCCAGGCTGGAGTGCAATGGCATCGTCTCGGCTCACTGCAACCTCCACCTACCGGGTTCAAGTATTTCTCCTGCCTCAGCCTCCCCAGTAGCTGGGATTATAGGCGCCTGCCACCATGCCCAGCTAATTTTTTTACTTTTTTTTTTTTTTCAGTCCAATCAGTTTACTCTGCTTTCTCCATCTCCTCCTCCCATTAGTCAGCCATTGGAACTGGGAAACCTCCTGCTTTCCCCCTCTTTGCATTCTTTCCACAATTCATCTTGTCTTTCTGCAGCCATATCTTCTTAATAGACTGAAGATTCTGTCATTGAGAATAGAGTGATCCATAAACCTGGTCATCGCACTTTTTATGACACAGTGATGTGGGCCCCAGATCCATGGCATGGTTTTCTCTGGATGCACTCCTGGATCTAATTTTTGTATTTTTAGTAGAGACAGAGTTTTGCCATGTTGACCAGGATGGTCTCCATCTCTTGATCCTGTGACCCACCTGCCTCAGCCTCCCAAAGTGCTGGGATTACAGGCATGAGCCACCACGCCTGGCCGTAATCTCTGACTTCTTTTTTTTTTTTTCTTGGGACGGAGTCTCACTCTGTTGCCCCAGCTGGAGTTCAATGGCTCGATCTCAGTTCACTGCAACCTCTGCTTCCCGGGTTCAAGTGATTCTCCTGCCTCAGCCTTCTGAGTAGCTGGGATTACAGGCACACACCCCTGCGCCCGGCCAATTTTTGTATTTTTAGTAGAGATGGAGTTTCACCATGTTGGTCAGGCTGGTCTCAAACTCCTGACCTCGTGATTTGCCTGCCCCCGCCTCCCAAAGTGCTGGGGTTACAGGCGTGAGCCACCGACCCTGGTCAATCTCTGACTTCTTTAAGCAATGTTTTGTGATTCTTGTCATAGGGATCTTTCACCATTCTGATTAGCTGTATTTGTAGATATTCTATTCTTTTTGTGGCAGTTGTGAATGGGATAATATTTTTGATTTGGCTTTTGGCTTGGATGTTTTGATGTACAGAGATTCTACTGATTTTTGTACATGTATTTAATATCCTGAAACTTGGCTAAAGTTGTTTATCAGTTTAAAGAGCTTTCCTGCTGAGACTATAGGGTTTTGAAGATATAGAATCATGTCATCTGCACACAGGGATAGTTAGACTTCCTTTCTTCCTGTTTGGATGCCTTTTCTTTTCTTTTCTTTTTTTTTTTTTTTTTTTTTGAGACAGAGTCCTGCTCTCACCACCCTGGAGTGCAGTGGCATGATCTCGGCTCACTGCAACCTCCGCCTCCCACCTGGGTTCAAGCGATTCTCCTGCCTCAACCTCCCGAGTATCTGGGACTACAAGCGCACGCCACCATGCCTAGCTAATTTTTGTATTTGTAGTAGAGACGAGGTTTCACCATGTTGGCCAGGATGGTCTCGATCTCTTGACCTTGTGATCCGCCCACCTCGGCCTCCCAAAGTGCTGGGATTACAGGTGTGAGCCACCATGCCCGGCGAATGCCTTTTATTTTCATCTCTTCTCTGATGACTCTGGCCAGGATTTCCAATTTTATGTTGAATAGGAGTTTTGAGAGAAGGCATCCTTATCTTGTGCCAGTTTTCAAGGAGGAATGCTTCCAGCTTGTGTCCAGTCAGTATGTTGGCTGTAAGTTTGTCATAGATATCTCATTATTTTGAAGTATGTACCTTCAGTGTCTGGTTTGTTGAGGGTTTTAAACATGAAAAATGTTAAATTATATTGAAAGTGTTTTTAGCATCTATTGAGATCATCTTTTGGTATTTGTTATTAGTTCTCTTTGTATGATGAATAACATTTATTGATTGTATATTGAACCAGCTTGCATCCCAGAGATGCAGCCTACTTGATTATAGTGGATTAGTTTTTTGATGTTCTTCTGAATTCAGTTTGCCAGTATTTTGTTGAGGATAGTTTCATCAATGTTCATCAAAGATATTGGCCTGAAGTTTTCTATCTTTTGTTTGGTCTCTGCCAGGTTTTGATATCAGAATGATGTTATTCTTACATATAATGAGTTGAAAAGGAGTCCTTTCTTTTCAGTATTTTGAAATATTTTTAGTAGAAGTGGTACTAGCTCTTTTTTATACAACTGGTAGACTTCAGCTAGGAATTTGTCTGGTTCTTGGTTTTTTTGTTTTTTTTTTGGTTAGTAGGCTATTTATTACTAATTCAATTTTGGAGCTTGTTGGTCTATTCAGGGATTCAGTTTCTTATTTGTTCAGTCTTTGGAAAATGTGTCTTTGCTCCCAGGTTACTATTCTCAAGCTTGGCCCAAATAAACTCTCTTATATTCATGTTGCCTCCACTTTTTCCTTTTAGGTAGTCATATTACGTAGAATGAGCTAGAGCAGCCTCTATGAGGGGATCTCTCCTTTGATTGTACTCCAGTTGCTGTAACACCCAAGAATGCAGAGTGTGGTTGATCCTACCTAGAATCTGCACATAAGGTCTGGCCTCTTCCTGGGATTTACAGGACAGGGTCAGACTTCAGATTGAGAATGTACAGAAAACCAACAGGAGGCATTTTCTCCATTGTGAGTTGTCAACATAGACATCTTAAAGCCCCCTTTGAGAGTGTGGTTCTTAAAACTTTTCAGATCTTGTTCAGTGATTTACCACAGTCGTGCGAGAGGCTTCAGATATAAATAGAATCTGATGACAGAATCAGCATTTTAAGAGTGAGATATCAAAGTCATAATGTATCCATAGCCATGACCACAACTATAACTACCTAAAAAAATGTGATACTGGGGTAGAGTATTCTTGTCCTTCTCCTTACCCAAAAGCTAGCAAATTGGGACACGTGATTAGGTTCTGGAACTCCACCAGGCCATGTTCTATTTAGAATCAGCCTGAATCTCTCCAGCCTGGATTATCATTGGGCCATCAGCCAGGGTCACTAAGAAACCTCTCACAATCACCTAGGCATCTTTGAGACATTTGAGGATGTCTAGGGCAGAATTGGTCAGGCTGACAAGAGTGGTTAATTCTGCTTCTGGCTTAGTGTAAGAGAAATGAGTCATTCTGTGCGTGTGTGTGTGTGTGTGTGTGTGTGTGTGTATGTGTATGTTTGTTTTTTGTTTTTTTCTTCTTTTTTTCTTTTTTTTAGACGGAGTATTGCTCTGTTGCCTAGGTTGGAGTGCAGTGGTATGATCTCGGCCTCTGCCTTCCGGGTTCAAGTGACTCTTCTGCCTCAGCCCCCTAAATAGCTGGGAATACAGGCACTTGCCACCACACATGGCTAATTTTTGCATTTTTAGTAGAGACAGGGTTTCATCATATTGCACAGGCTGGTCTTGAACTCCTGACCTTGTGATCTCCCTGCCTCAGCCTCACAAAGTGCTGGGATCACAGGCGTAAGCCACCACACCCGGCAATTCTCTGTTTTTTTCTCCCCTCATACAAGAAATAACTTTGGTTGGTACCCAGATGAGAGTTTCTCAAGTTTCCGGGTACTTGGATGAAAGCAATAGGTCTGGTGACTCAAACAGATAAAGTAATTGTTTTCATTTTATATGGCCATTCAAAAAACAGATGAAGCAGTCATGGTCCCTACTATCCAGAAACATTTTGTCTAGACTAACAACTGGATACATGTGTGAATTAAGCATTATATGATTGATACAATGAATAGATGTGTCCAAAAGAAATTTGGGCCACTCTTTTATATTGTTACTTCTGATATCATCACCTGAAGGGATATTTATGGAGTGAAGATTTGTTATTATTTGTGTTTCTTTTACTTTGCTAAGAATATGTATGTATCTTCTAATATAATTATTCTAAAGAACTTTAAGAAATTTGTTTAAATTGCTTATTAGTATATGTTATAAAATTGACAGGGCAGTGGCAAAAATAGATTAAAGTTACATAAGCTCTGGGATTTAAGATTCTCGTAGGTAAGCTTAGGAAAAACAGAACTGGAAATACCTTGGTGGCAGAGAGAACAGAATTCTACATAGGGTCCTTTCCCTGCCCAAATTCTGTTCAGATTAATCCTTTTTGGAGGCCTTATTTATGTCTGGCCCCACTCCGGAGCCTTGCCTCACAAAACTGATTTATAAAAATCAGAGTTTTGGCCGGGTGTGGTGGCTCACACCTGTAACCCCAGCACTTTGGGAGGCCGAGGCAGGCAGATCACGAGGTCGGGTGTTCGAGACCAGCGTGACTAACATGGTGAAACTTCGTCTCTACTAAAAATACAAAACTTAGCTGGGCGTGGTGGCACATGCCTGTAATACCAGCTGCTCAGGAGGCTGAGGCAGGAGAATCACTTGAACCCGGGAGGCGGAGGTTGCAGTGAGCCAAGATTGTGCCACTGTACTCCAGCCTGGGCGACCGAGTGAGATTCGGTCTCAGAAAAAAAAAAAAAAAAGAGAGATTGGAGTTGTGTCTGGTGAATCTTGCTGCCTTTCTAGAGCTGGTGCTCACAATTTTCTGAAACCCAAAAACAGGTAAATGAGAGAAATAAACTATTTATTTTAGGATCTTATTTTTTAAATTTTATATTAAAACCAGTGCTTACAGAAGCATTCCATTTAGCGACTTGTTTTCTATTTCTGCCAGTGTAGCAGTTGCTCCACAAGCCACAAACAAGAAAATATATACACAATAAAAATTTCTTTAAACTATGTTAAACTTTTTCTATGTTCTTCTCATCTGCCTATATTTAGCTTTTATTCTATACATTTAAAACAAAATCCATGACAGAGAAACAGAGGAAGAAATAAAAATGCTGAACCCTTTATCTAAACCCTGGGAATTATTGAACACTTAGTGTCAACTTTCAGGGTGTTATTAGGATTAAATCACATAATGTGTTATGCCCAGCACAGTGCTCTGTAACATACTCTTAAGCCCATAGTACCTGCTTAATAAACATTGCATTAGTATGTGTGTACATGTTATTTTCCAAAGGCAAATTTATTCAGACATTGCTGCCTTCTGTTTGTTCTGTAAACTTTAAACAGCCAGCAAAGAATATAAAACTTTAAGATGGAGATTGGTTTTATTTGTACCAGAAGTATTTGTGTTGTGACGAGTGCTGAGTGTAAGGGACTCTGTGCTATGTCTGCTTCTCTAACTAATGCTAATAATGAGCCCAGTGGGAACAACATCAGCATTGACAGGGAACTCGTTTGAAACACCCATTCATGGACCCTTTTCAGACTTGCATATTCACATTACATAGAGTGGGGCCAAAATTACCAAGCGAATTTTAAGCTCTTTAAAGTTTGAGAGGCAATGCTTAGCTAAGTGGTTATCAGCCTCGTCTTTTTGTTTGTTTGTTTGTTTGTTTTGTTTTTGTTTTTGAGACAGGATCTCACTCTCACCCAGTCTGGAGTGCAATGGCATAATCTCCGCTCACTGCAACCTCCGCCTCCCGGGTTCAAGTCATTCTCATGCCTCAGCCTCCTGAGTAGCTGGGATTACAGGCACCCGCCATCATTCCTGGCTAATTTTTTGTTTTTAGTAGAGATGAGGTTACATCATGTGGGCCAGGCTGATCTTGAACTCCTGACCTCAGGTGATCCGTGTGCCTTGGCCTCCCAAAGTGCCGGGATTACTGGTGTGAGTCACTGCACCTGGCCTCTGCCCAGTCTTCTAATTAGGATTACATGGCAGAAATCTCTTACTTATGCCCTTTCCACGGATTTTGTTTATTGTTGTGGGTGGAAGCATCCATGTTGTTTTAATGAAGTGCCTCATGTGACTCTAAGGTGAGGCCAGAATCAAGTATGAGGACTTCAATATACATTCATGAGAGCTAAGTGCCACCTTTGCACTAAAGGGTGGTCACAGAGCTTGTTCTGTTTGGGTTTGGTAGGAACAAGGGAGTGTGGCTCATATTTCCATTACTGTAGCAGAAATTGCTGGTGTCTGTGGCAGAGGAGGGCACCGGAGGACAGGAAAAGAGAAACTTACTTTTATATTCATAGAGCACCTCATTGTTCCTGAATCTCTTCTATTATAAAGGACAGAGAAATGGGTGGACTTTTTCTGCAGGATTTTCCTTCTGTTTGTGCGTGTGATGGCAGCAGACAAAAAGGTGCTGCTGGCATTTTTAAATGAATATTCTCAAGATGCGGGTGTAACTTGTCCAGAGAATGTTATCTAAAATGGATTTTCAGAGAAGGAGAGAAAAAATGGCCTTTTTTCAGCTAAACATGTCTCAGATGAAGAGCTGTGTGCACTCTGCTTCATGGAATGCCATGCATTTAGTACTTGCAAACCTTTACTTCCCTACTTGTGTTTTTCCTCCCTAAGGAGTTTGTTTTAACTACATTTTAAAATTCTTATAATATTCAAGGCTTTCTGCAAAACATTTCCTTTCTATATACCAGAGCTTTCTCTACATTCCCTACATCATGGCTTCTTATATGCCATGCAGAATTCCTACCATGAATTTATAATCGGCACTATTAAAAATGTTCCCTTTGTGGCTGTTAAACATGGGGAGATGTAAATACTCAAGATTCCTATTGGGGGAAAGCTGGGGTCCCTAGTAAAGATGGAGAACGTGTAATATTGAGGTTTCATCTGTTTTCTCTATTAACTCTATGCAGAACAGGATTAAGAAATCCTTATTTAAACAGAATGCCATTTATTACCCAGAAAGTTCTGAAAAAAATTATTAGGAGATATCTGCTATCTACGGTGCTAAAGAAAGACTACTTAAAATCACCATTAAAAATAACAGAACATGGGAGATATCTGTATCTTGAACTTTGTATAAAACTATGTATCTTTATAGTTACATTCAGACAATAATTTACTGTTTGAGGGGCAATATCTTAGCAGTGATGCCATGTTCTTCTGTGTGCATCAGCACATCATAAAAATTTGTTGGCTGGGTGTGGTGGCTCACACTTGTAATCCCAGCACTTTGGGAGGCCGAGGTGGGTGGATCACCAGAAGTCGGGAGTTCGAGACCAGACTGACCAACATGGAGAAACCCCGTCTCTACTAAAAATACAAAATTAGCTGGGCATGGTGGTGCATGCCTGTAATCCCAGCCACTTGGGAGGCTGAGGCAGGAGAATCACTTGAATCCTATTTATGTGTTAAAAATGATTGGGGCCAGGCATGGTGGCTCACGCCTGTAATCCTAGCATTTTGGGAGGCCAGGGTGGGTGGATCACCTGAGGTTGGGAGTTAGAGACCAGCCTGACCAACATGGAGAAACCCTGTTTTTACTAAAAATACAAAATTAGCCAGATGTGGTGGTGCATGCCTGTAATCCCAGCTACTCAGGAGGCTGAGGCAGGAGAATCGCTTGAAGCCAGCATGCGGAGGTTGCCTCTGTCTCAAAAAAAAAAAAAAAATTAGATAATTTCAGTTATTCCTGTAAGTGAGAAGCAATTCTCTTTATTCTCTCATTTCACGTTAATTCAAATAATAAATTCTGCCCATGGCCACTTGGTAAATATACGTGTGTCTTGTGTGCTTGTGTTTTTCAGGGGCCGTTGACATTTAGGGATGTGGCCATAGAATTCTCTCTGGAGGAGTGGCAGTGCCTGGACACTGCTCAGCAGGATTTGTATAGGAAAGTGATGTTAGAGAACTACAGAAACCTGGTCTTCTTGGGTGAGAATAACTTTAGTACACAATTACTAATATACCCTAAAAGTTTCATTTCTCTTTTTTTTGTAGAATAATTTTTGGTAATTTATGCTTTGCATAAATGAGTTTCTGATATTTGTTCTTAAGAAAGTCTTGAGGATTTATCCATGTAGAAAAGAATTTTTTCAGGATGTTTTATCTTGACTTAAACTTTCCACGTTCCTGGGCTGATCTGTATCCTTCACTTTAGATTAGTGGCAATTCCAGAAATTTAGTGGCATAAAATATTGTTGCCCATATCTTAAAATCTATTTGCCACCACCAATTTTTGATTAATGAGTACCAGGTAGTGAAATGAAGAATCTACAAATGTAAAATGTTTTCTAAATACTTAGAAATTTCTGTTATAGCCGGGCGTGGTGGCTCAAGCCTGTAATCCCAGCACTTTGGGCGGATCACGAGGTCAGGAGATCGAGACCATCC